ATATTATTGTACAGTGCGATAAGCACAACAGAGCTATGTCCATGGCATGGAGGTAGCACAAAGGAAGAGGTATCTCCAGGAAGAGATAGCAGGCTGAGCTAGATTTTGAAAGATTAAAAAAGGTATTTATATGTATATGAGTATATGGAAAAAGTCTTGGTGGTGCCGCTGGGTAAGAATTGGATTACTAATCTCAAGGTTGGTGGTTCAAATCCACTCCATGGGAGAGATAAGACTGCCTACTTCCATAAAGATTTACAGCCTTGAAAACCTTCTATAACGTTGTTATGAGTTGAAATTGGTTTGATGGTAGTGGGTTTATACGGATGAGAAGGAGGGCAGGCTAGGCAAAGGGAGAGCATGTAGACAAGTACCGAGGTGGGAAACAGAAAGGGTAGTTATTAAAGAAGACACGCAAATAGATGAGTCTGGAGAGCACAACTGAGGGGTTCGATAAAATAGACAAACCACTGGCCAAACGAAGGAAAAGAATGAGAAGATATAACTAACCACAACAAAAATGAGATGGGTGACATTATAATAGAGCCAAATAAAATAAAAACTATCATATTAACAAATTATGAAAAATTATCTTTCAACAAAGAAATGGACAAATTTCTAGAAAAACACTACTTAACTAAATTAACGCAAACTGAGGTAGAAAATTGGTACAGACTCTTGGGCCTCCACTCAAGTACTCCCTCAACACAAGAATACGTTCTTTTATTAAATTGGCATTCTATGATGCTCACCTTCCTGACAACAGCTGAAGACAAAGCGGGTGCATAAGCAAATGTGGTGAAGAAAGCTGATGGTGCCTGGTTATCAAAAGATATAACGTCTGGGGTCTTAAAAGCTTGAAGGTAAACAAGCAGCCATCTAGCTCAGAAGCAACAAAGCCCACATGAAGAAACATATTAGCCTGTGTGATCATGAGGTGTTGAAGGGATCACTGAAGACAAATGGGTGCATAAGCAAATGTGGCGAAGAAAGCTGATGGTGCCCGGCT